AATGTGTTGGTGACAGGAGAGACAACGCCATCAACACCGCCAACTGACAGCAGCACCACCAACACCACCATCAACACCACCATCACCCCCACCGGCAATGGCACCACAGACAGCATCACCAACACCAGCACGAACAACAACAACAACAACAACAGCAACCATGACAGCAGCAACCGCAGCAGTGTGCATCCTGGCCATGACCTGGACGTGGTGTGGGTGACGCACAAGGTGGTTGACGGGTATGCGCTGCGCACGCTGTGCCATTTCCCAGATGCCTTTCCCTGCCATGATGAGGCATGGCTGCACTTGTGCCAAGAACTTCTGCAGGCCACGGACAAGCGCCGCAAGCAGCAGCGCCAGCAAGAGGAAAGGCAAGAGGAGGGACGTGGCCTTGGCGATGGTGCTGAAGCAGTGGCAGCAACGGCAACGCCAACACTGCAGGGAGGCCTGCAGGGAGGTGGTGGAAAACACAGCCCTCGAGCGAAGAACGCCGCCAGTGACGCTGGTCATGCCAAAGGAAACCCGTTTGCGCTGCTGCTGCTGCCAGATGAATGAGGCCCTCCTTGTGTGTTTGCGTGTGTGTGTGTGTTTGCGTGTGTGTGTGTGTGTGTGTGTGTGTGTGTGTGTGTGTGTGTGTGTTTGGGTTCTCAGTGCGGTTGATCTGTTGTGTGTGTGTGTGTGTGCGGATGTCGCCTGTTTTATCGCTTGCACTCTTGTTTGCTGTTCGATATCTTTCAAGCACATTGGTTTGCACTTTTTTTTTTGTTTCGTATTTCGTGGGCACCACCCATCCACCCACCCATCCATGTAAACGAACCCACAGTGTCACAGAATCTTTAGGAAGGCAGAAACACCACTTAGGCAAGCAACATGCTCCCATCAAATCAAACACCCTAACTGGAAGCAAAACAAACACCCGATGTAGGGACGAAAAGGAGCAGAACGGTGCAACACAAGCACAGGACAACCACAGAGCGCAGGCAACTCAGCCTCAGTGATTCAGTGGGCGCGAGCGGCGGCGACGGCAGACGCCGCAGCCGTCTTGAACTCCTCGTGGATGCCTTCCTCAAACACAGTGACGGGGTTTAGGTACTCGCGAAGGTTCTCTGGAACAATGTCGCTCAGGACAACGACGTCGTCCTTACACTGTGTGTTGAGACGCTGCACAAGCAAGGCGCTGAGCAACTCGACGATGAACGCCGCCACAACGTCCTCGGCGTCCAATTGCGCATCATGCATGTACTCCTGCTTGACCTGAGCTAGCAGGGAGGAGTGCAACTCCTGCGCCTGGCCAGCCTGCTTAAACCGCGTCTCGAAGGTGTACGCTGCGTTGGCGAGGTTGGCGAGCGTCTTCTCGCGCATGTTCAGCACCATGTCCGAGAGTTGCAGGGCTCGGATGACCTCGAGCACGTTGCCGGCAACCTCGCGCGTGTCTGCAGGAACCTGGCTGGCCATGCCTGTATCGGAGAGCCCCGCCTCCATGTCCTTGAAGGCGCGCATGAGGGGCGCCGTCTTGTTCAGGTCGCGGGTCACGTTGACGAGGGTGCAGGCCGACGCGTCGGCACCACCGGCGATCTGCTTGCAATACGCGGCTGTCTCTGTGTCCAGGATGACCTCGCTGGAGCGCAGGGCCCCCTGCGTCTTTGGCAGGAGATAGGCGGCGACAGCGTTGGCCAGCGGCACGATGACAGTGGTGCGCATCTCGCCGACCTTTGGCTCAGTGATCTTGGACGCCTTCGCCACGAGCTCCTTCTTCACGCTGCGGGCGGTGCCCAGCTCCGTGTGGAAGGTGGACTTGAGGTTCTTGTTGGCGTGGTCGATGGAGGAGATGTTGGAGCGCCAGGTTGAGGTGACCACGCTCTTGGTGAGCGCGTACACGCTGTTGAAGCCCCTTGCTGCGGCCTTTGCCTTAATGCCCGGACCACCGGGGAGCTTGGAGAAGAGCCCGTCGCCGATCTTGGTGCGCCAGTAGTAGTTGGCGAGGGTGTCTGTCAGGATGTCGATCTCACTGCCGTAAATGCGGAACTCGTTCAAGCGGTTGGCCAAGTTGCGCGAGGCGTTGTCGAAGGCGGCACACTCCACGGGGTCACGCAGGGACCGTGTGGACACGAAGCGGCTGCAGGTGGTGAGGATGTCGAGCCAGCGCTCAAACTGCTCCTCGTCCTTGCACTTGATGAGCCAGCGGCGCTTGACGCGGTGATAGCACTCGATGGTGAGCGGCTCGTACTTGGTGTAGTCGTCCGGGGGATCACCACCGAAGAGGCGGGCGTGCTGCTCCCGTACTTCGATCTTGCGCTTGTTTGGGTCCCGCACGATGTCGTAACCGCAGAGGTTGATGGTTCCCTTTGGTTTGGCGCCGGCGGCGTAGTTGTCTGCGCTGGCGTAGTAGGCGATGACGTGGTCGGGCCGCACCACGAAGAGGCGCTCTTTCCAGGAGTGGCGCACGTTGCCGCGTTTCACCAGGGTCTCCATGTGCAGCGGGCGTTTTGAGAGGGCGCTGGCGGGCACCTGCTCGAGCTGGCGCTGGACCTTGTCCGTGGGTGCGCCCTCCAGCGCTGCGTTATCGGCCGCGCTCTGGCGCAGGAGCTCGTTGACGAGGGCGGATCGGTAGAGGATCAGGAAGTCCTTGGTGAACTTGTTGAGGCTCTTCTTGATGGAGTCGCGGACGCGGTCGATGCGCTCGGTAATGTCCTCGTAGACGGCGATGCCGTACTTGGAGAAGGGGACGGACTTCTTCAACCCGCTCTTCAGTGCGGCGGAGGTTGCGCTCTCCTTCTTCTTCTTGCTTTTCGTCTTCTTCTTTCCTTCGCTGTCCGAGCCCGAGCTGCTGCCGTCGGAGCTTGAGGCATCTTCGTCGTCGTCGTCGTCGTCGTCCTCACTTGACCCGCCGGAATCGCTGTCTTGTCCTGTGACGGACTGGCGGACGGCGGACGCGACGGAGCTGAGGGAGAGCATGCTGCTGCGGCTTGACTTTTTGGAGGAGGAGGAGGAGGAGGAGGATGAGGCGGCCTTCTTGGACAGCTTGTTGAGTGGGGCCGTGTCCAGGCCGAGGGCGGCAACGAAGCTCTCAGCGACGGGGACGGGCATACCCTGAGTTTTGACGAGCCAGGCTGGGTTGCTTGTGACCTTGTTCACAATGATAGCGCCGGACAGGGACTTGAGGTGCTTGGCTTGCTCGTCCATGCCCTGCTGCTGGAGCCAGTCCTGAAGTTGCTGGGGGTTGAGGGTGGCCACATGCTGGCAAGCCTCTGGTGTGGTCGCGCTGCTCATGTTTGAGATCAAAACGTCAGGACAAGCGAATCAGCGTGTGTGCGTGTGTGCGTGTGTGCGTGTGTGCGTGCTGTGAGAGATGTACGCAAGGAGGGAGAGATGAGGGGGGGCGGCAAAACGAGACGAGAGAGGGAAGCTGTGGAAAGCAAAAAGGGAAAAAATGGCAAGTGGCAAACGGTTTTGTGTGTGAGTGTGTGAGAGTGTGTGTGTGAGAGTGAGAGACAAAAGCAAGCCGAAGGATGAAGGCCACAACCCAACACAACGACAAGGCGAAAAAGAAGAAGCAATGGTAACAATAAGGCCCACGCACGAGGTGCAGCAAAGACCTCACACCGCCTCCACAAGACACTGCGCCACGCACAACCCTCGACAGCCATCTTTTTCCTCGCTCTGTCCATTTAACCTTTCTTGCTTGGCCAAAGCGAAACGCCAGGCAACACAGCTTGTGCGCTTCTTGTGGCGAAACGCCAGCTTCGTGGTCGTATATCTCCTGGAATTTTTGGACACGTGGTGCTGTGGAAGATATTGTGATTTGTCGTGAGGACAGCTAAACGCGGACACGTCCCAATACGTTGTACCTGACTCATGTCATTTTTCGCTGACTCAGTTGACTGTGGGTGTGCCGCCAAGGATTTGATTGGCCAATGGATGGATGGTCTATGATTGCTGCTGTAGCCATCAGGCTTTCGTTTGTGTTTGTGTTTGTGTTTGTGTTTGTTGTTTGTGTTTGTGTTTACAGACAGACCTCATGCCACACTGCACACACACACACACACACACGCACGCACGAGCGCTCTGACTGATGCTGGTGCATAAGCAATCCAAACACAGTGTGTGGGTTGTGTTTTGTTTTTCTGAAACGAGGTCAAATCAATCAAGCAATCAAACATCAACATGAGCAAGGTCTTTCAAGCTTCCACCTGCCAGTGGCGCACCATGGTGAGCGGCAGCCTTGTTCACATCCACGCAAGTGATCACGGTTCTATGTTTGTTTGTCGTTCCATTATTGCACCCTGTCACCCACCCAGAAGGTTCCAACACAACCTACACACACACTCTCTCTCACCTGCTTCATCATCAATGGCAAAGACGCCATCAATGAGCACACGCACCCACGAAACAACAACAACAATAGAACACAAGCACAAGACACGCCAGCAGCTCACGCAACCGCCACCATCACACCTGCATTGCTGGTCTTGCCAGGCTGTTCCCAGGCACGGAGATCATTTATCGCTTGCCAGATATCACAGCCAGACGAAGCACACGCACGCACCCGAGACTGAGCCAGACGATACAAGCAAGCAAGCAAGCAAGCAAGGAACGAAACGAATACAGAAAGCTCTGCATCTACCCCAGTGAAGCCCAGCAGTCGAACGTTCCCACGGCGTTGACCAAGGTATGCCGCGATCGGAGCTTGTTGATGGCGTGTATGTTTGTGTGTGCTTGTGTGTGCTTGTGTGTGCTTGTGTGTGTGTGTGTTTGTGTGTGTGCTTGTGTGTGTGCTTGTGTGTGTGCTTGTGTGTGTGTGTGTGTGTGTGTGTGTGTGTGTGTGTGTGTGTGTGTGTGTCAATGGCCCCCCAAATAGCTTGTGTCGCTTGCCATCTT